TCTTCGGCGCTCGGCCTTTTTTATGGTCCAGCTCTCACAGCCATACATTACTACTGGACATCATAAATGCCTGTATATCAGCAATTGCAATCTTTTAGGATTAGGAGGATACTAACAAGAGAGAGAGAGACAGTTTGGTGTAGTGGTTAAAAGGCATCAGGCTAGAAACTGGGAGACTGAATTCCAGTCCCACCTTAGGCACAAAGCCAGCTGGGTGATGCTGGGCCAGTCACTTTGTCTCAGCCCTAGGAAGGAGGCAATGGCAAAACCAGTTCTGAAAAATCTTGCCAAGAAAACTGCAGGGACTTGTCCAGGCAGTCTCTGAGAATTGAACACGACTGAACCGATGAAAACATAAAGAAGTTTCTAGCAAAATTTCAGCCAGACTTATTTTAGTCACAAAACCTCCTCCAAAAATACCAGTTTGGGAATTCTGAGTTCCATTATCGCTTATGCTCCGCATTCATTAGGTAGTTCTATAGGCAAACCACTTTATTCATTAAATATCTGTATGCAACTTATGCCTTTCACAGCTCAAGGCAGCTCACAAAAAATACAATTAAAAGAGCAAAAGAACATTTAAAACACTGTAGATTTCATAATGGTTCATTTAATTCATTTTAAACCATTAAAATTGCCCCAATCTTGCTGGCGGGGGAATTCTGGGAATTGAAGTCCACACATCTTAAAGTTTCCAAGTTTAAAAAAACACGGTTCTAGAATAATGGGGATAACCAGGCTAGTCCCCCTGGTAGAATCATTGTGAGCATTTTCTGAAGTCATGGTCACAGGCACTGGCCATATTTCGGCCTGGTTCAGGAAACGGTGATGTATGTTATTTGATTGTAGTTTCATATGGCCAATCATGGATTATTTGATAACCATGATTAAGCAAACCGTGAAATAGCACCACATGCAAGCCCTTTCCCTTCCAGGTGATAGAAAAGCTATCAAAATAGACGTTGAGGCAGAAGATCTATCTTCTTCTTTAGGAATGGCACAGTATTAATAAAATATAGGGTGCTGTATACAAATAATCAGTACCCTTCTTAGTCCTGGCTGGAGTTTCTACTTGATTTAAAAAGGAAAACCAGCCAGATTGTTTGCACCTTACACTGGATTTACACTTTCCTAAATCAGACACTTTCCTATCTCAGTTCTGATGGCACAGCTTCATCTCAATTGCCTTGACTCTTTCTTCATTTCCAAACTTTACCTTGCTCCCAAAATAATTTGAAAAGTTAAGGAAGCCAGACACTTTTTTTTAAATTTCCTGTTATCGTGCAGTTTATCATGGAACATAAAACATCATGAGGCATAAAACCTGTCTCCTTTTCTGCAATAGGGAAGAACTGGCCCACCTTACCAGCTTTTTATTAGGTTAAAACAGTGTTTCTCAACCTTAGCAACTTTAAGATATGTGGACTTCAACTCCCAGAATT